GCGCGTGAGATCTTCAGGGAAGTTGAACATTATGCAACCATTCAAAAAAGAGAACGTAGCGGAAAATACAAACAACAAATTGTGTCAGGTGCGCGTGACCTGCTCCGCTGCGCGTGCACCATTTCCAAAGTGCTTCCACAGCAGTGACACACATCTGATCTGTGGATAATCATTTATACGAAAATGGTTAAAGCAACAATCACTAAACGCCAGCAACACTGCATCTACTGCAGACAGTAGCAACAGGTCAGATGCGGACATCACGTTACCCTCCGTTGTGGACACTAGCTTACTCCCGCCTGACTCGCCGGCCCCGGAGCAGCAGTCTTCGTCGCCCGAAACTACGCCGTCCCTCTGCGGCCCGCAGGTGCCAGGTATATCTAAACAACTACCCGCCTGTACAGTGGGGTAAGGCGGTCATTTTGCAGCTTGTGGTATAAAAATAGACAATGGCTAGAATATTCATGTGAAAATAGTACCATATTCTGACATGCCTGTAGAAATGTTGGGTCAAAAATAATGCATACAATAGCACAGATGCCTTCACCACGAATGGCTACAAAAATATCTCATATCCCAAGCTTATTATCAACGAGCTGATGTTGCAGCTGAAATGTTCTCCAGGTCACAAAGTCAACCTCACATGATGATGTGATACCAGTTTTCAAGCACAGTAAATATTCTCTTCCCAGCGTATATGATGGGACCAAGGTGATGATGTAGTAGGCTACATGGTTTTAATAACACTTTTGCCTTTCAATGTTTGCCATTTCAAACCATGAGCATGGTTTAAATAATATTCGCCTTGATTTACAATATGTTAACCTTCATTATAGTCCTTGACAGCGGTCTGTACTGCTGTATTAACAACGTGTCACATGTTAAGAATTTACAATCAGAATCGAGTATTCAACTAAGCCCTGTAATACAAGTTGTTAGTAGCCTTAAGGGCCTACACAGTTGTTATGCTATACCACATTGCCCTTCACTGGATGCATAATGAGCTGCACTAAACTACATTTTAGCATTTAAAATACCTAGCTATTCTTTTGCGGTTATTTTGGTGAAAGTAACTAAAGTAGTGTAACTCATTACATTTCAGAGACAGTAATATTGTAATGTAACTTATTACTTTCAAAAGAGATTAATAAGTAATATGTAATATATTACATTTTGGAAGTAACTTGCCCAACACTGCTGACGGGGACAGAGAAATGACTGTTACCACCTATCAGACATGTCGATCTATGAAGCTATAACACGTTTAACCTTAAATGTTGTTTAACATTTCACATTAACATTTAAAATAATATCGTTGGAGCTACGGTGAAAACATGTTTGCTGATATCGTGCTCTTAAACGGTTGATTCCCTCGCACACATTACATTCTAGTTGATCCTTAACTCACGGTAATCCTCCCTTAATTATGCAGTCCGTCTTTTACCATATATTCTGGCCATAAAACAGTTTAACGTTCTGTTTCCTCCCTCACTCCAGGCTCGACCTGACAGACCCGCATGCATGGATGTATAATAGGAACCCGCATGTCCTCAATTCTGGCCGACAGACGGTTTGCCAGAATATTGCTAAAACCCCCTTTCATAGTTATATTTTTCTGCCACTGATATTCATCTTATATGGGCTAAGCTAACAGCCGACCACGTTTCTGGCTACACTTGTCCATCGTAGCATACCTTAGAAGTCTAGGGCCAGACATGATAAAAGTTTCTAAAACATTTTTCCTCTTTCAGAGAAGCGTTAGCTAGCTAATGTTAAACTCGGCTAATGTACCACAAACAAAAATCTAGTGCCGCATTAACTGATAATTCACTAACAATCAACTAAATAATTCGCAATCAATTAATGTTACACTTTAAATCAGACATTTTCTATATTAATAATTTCAACACAACATTCAAACAAAGTGCTCACCTTGAGGATGATAAGTCCCGTTGAGAACAGCAGAGTGCCACTGCCGAACATGTAAAAGCGAAATACTGTAGAAAACCCCCAGATTTCTGTTGGAGACCCCGTTCTTAGCTCGAAGCATACACAAAGAGCTTCGTTTGAACTCTAACCTTGGATTTTTAAGTTTTGACAACTGAATTTATTAAATGACACACACTTTAAACAAGCAACATAATAAAGATAGTCGAGAGAACTACTTTAATGTAGTAAGCAACTCAATTCAATATTTTTTGTTCACCTTACAAACAAATTATTTTCAGGCCAACAATTTTAAGTTTGCGTGTTTACAGTGAAACGTAATA